AACCTCAGCCACGATAAAAAAGCGCTTGTGCCCCTGGAGAACGCTTGTGGTCACGTAGTTCCCTGGCTTAAGACTAGAATACGGTTCCCTCGTTTCTTAACAGACGAGATTTGTTTTTATTCTTGGTGTTTGAGTCGAGACAATATATCACATGAGCTGTAACATTCACATCCTTTCACCTGACTCTGTTGAGACCCCTGTTCGAGCCCTTTAAGTGTGTTTTGTCGTTGTTTATGATATCTCACATACCCTGTCAAACGAACAAAGTTCACGTTGCATCTTTTAGTTTATCCTATCGTTCAAAACACTTGTACAGTCCTTGCACTCTTGCGGTCACAAGCACCTCCACCTTCGTGACTATAGCCCCTTACCATTGTCACTACTTCCTATTTCTTTGCTTTCTATACGATGCGCCTCTGCATTATCGAATGACAGAACAATCTGCCTCCTACACGGAGCTCTCCATCATAACTGCCTGTGCTGCCGGCGTCTTCTTGCTAAGCTTCTTCTGCCTCAATTACCATTACACTCGCAAGATGCGCGGTCGGGATGCCCAGGCTGCCGATGGTCTTTACGCTGCGGAACAGACGCTCAGGGAACTCCAACGGAAGTAAGTGTTTGGATTTTTGCCTCTGCTATCCAAATAACCGCTATCTTGGTCGTTGCTCAAACGCTTTTTCAGGCAGGAGCTTGTTGCGATTGTCTAGTCATTGAAGAATCGCGTGGGGCGCTTTGTCAGCGTCTACCGGAAGACCAGTGTCGACACGGTCGCTAACCGTGGAATAGTCCTTACTCAGTGCTGTTTAATTCTTTTACACACTCGACAGGCTTGTGCTGCGTCATAGGGCCAGATGAAGACAAAGACCTGTATGGAGGTAGTCAGGGCGGACCGTTTATCCTCCTCATTCATGGCATGTTCTGAAGGACTGCGAACACATAAAAAGTATTCTAGTTAGTGTTATTTTTTCGACGCTGTTTAGTGGGCCTTCCAGTCCAGTCTTAAACACAAAATTTTATCTAAAATCATTGTAGGCACTAGCTAATTCTTCCTTGTGAGTTACATTTCGCGGCAGATTGCAGTTATACGGTGAAACTAATCTAGACTTCCCCCGACTCTTAAAATTTCCTTGTAAAATATCGTATTCAAAATACGTTTTGGACCTTCTGTTTTTGGGTATCGCACAAAAGATGTACTTTAGTACACACAACAATTGTCAACCTTACGAAGAAAACACAGAATAAAACTAAGTACTCGATGAATTAGTGTGCCTAGACAAATGTGTGCTTCGTTGAATGGAAAAATATCTAGTAATGCCTGTATACTACTCTGGGAAGTATATTCTGTCCCATCTTTCTATTGAGAACTGTACTGCTTTTTCTGACTGGGGGTTGCAAGACGCTGGAAGGTACCACACTGGCTCCTCAT